GCGGCAGCAGCAGCGGGTGCGCGACGTGCGGGTGGTGTCCGAAGGCGCTGCCCCAGGGCCCGGGGCCGAGGCCGGCGTGGGCGCCGCTCGCCGCTTCCCGCTGCGAGGCGTAGTTGTTCAGGTGCGAGACCAGCCGCGCGCGCAGCGGGTCGGAGGCGTCCAGGCCCTCGATCATGCCCAGGTAGCGCGCCACTTCGGCCAGGCACTCCCGGAAGCCCAGGCTGCGGTAGTCCATGGCGAGCGCGTGCGCGTCGAAGTAGCCTGCGAGGGGCAACGGGGACGCTCAGCGCCCTGCCCGCCGCCCTCACGTCTCCCACCCGAAGGCGGCCTCGCGCGCCCACACCCTGCACCCGCCCCACGCGGCACGCGGGGACGCTCCCGAAGGCCGAGTATTTCGGAGCTGACCACAATTTTGCATTCATCAACATGAGCAGAATGAATCTGCTAAGGGGAGTTCAAAGCCCTCTTAGAAACTATGGGGCAGAAATCGGAATTACACCCTAGCCGCAGATGAAACCACGTTCGTTCCTTTAATGTTTTCCCTCTACTACAACAAAAAACACATCAAGGACGGAGAAACCACAGAGCAGTGAAACGCATTAGACACACAGATGGAAGCTGTCGTGCTGGAGCGCTCAGCGCCGGGCCCCAGGGAAGCCTTTTCTGCTGGAGGCAGATGCACGGACCTTGGTCCCCCACCCGTTAGGGTTCCTCTTAACCCCAGGTTTCTTTCCGCAAGTCAATGGCAGCTCTTTTAAAAAATCCCGCGTGTAAAACTGAGATCATACACTTACACTTTTTTTAAAAAGCTGTTTCTCAAGCTTTTCCTCCAAAGAGCAATGGGCAAATTTGAGAGCTACCTGATTGGAACCCGGGCTGTCACAAGTTTGCAGACGACCGTACGGGTGACAGGCACTGGCCAAAAGGCGCTAGCTCAATCTGCAGAGAGGGCCGGGGCGAGGAGTTCACCGCAGATTTGTGTGCATCTGAAGAGGTGCTGACAGGCGGGCACACACCAGCGCTCTCCCCACCCCCACGAAAACGGAGGCTGGGCCTGCACCAATCCTGGCCCAGACCCAAGCACGCAGATCCCCCACCGGGGCTAACGAGCTGTACCTTTCCCTCCGGCAGTGTGCAGCATTTTCAGGTGATCCACCGTCATCTGCAAGATCTCAGCTTTTTCTAGCTTAGCAGAACCCTGAAAAAAAGAAAGGACTGATTTGGTACTGTCTTTGCGGTAACAAGTGAAAATACACACAGTAACTCATAATGGGTGATGTAAACCAGGAGTTGTCTCCACAAAATCCGCCGAGTTTGTGTATGAATTCATCCAGGCGTAAGCAACACCGCTGTTTTCCAGGACACAGGAAACATTCGGGTTCATACGGGTGCAGAAGGCGCACACGGCTCCAACAGCTCTACCTGCGTGCTCCATTACCTGCTTCTCAAAAGCACTGGGTACCAGCCTCCTCAGCTCAGACAAACTGTTATTGATCCGGTCTCGTCGGCGCTTCTCGATGATCTATGGGAAGCAGGCAAAACAAAGGCGGTCACTTCCATTACGACTGTAAATCCCAGAGAAGCGCGGCTCTTTAACTCAAGACCACAAGAGCACTGTGAAGGGACTCACGCCTCTCCGTCTTTTCCTGGCCAAGATCTGGGAAGATGTGGTCGGGGACATGGAACCCAGAGCCGAACTCAAGTTTCTGGAAGCAGAGGAGGCAGGTCTCCGTTAGGCGGGGAGGTGGCCCGGGAAGTGGCCCCGACGCCCTCCCTGAACTCAGCGCCGCCGAGGTCCCCGCCGCCACTCACCCATTCTCGTCCGCGCTCTCCTTCTCCACCTCGATGGTCTCGTCCAGCTCGCTGTCGGAGGAGCTGTACTCGGGGTGAGCCCGCTTCATGCTGGCTGCGCAGGGGCAGGGAGGAGTTCAGCACGGCGGCGCCGCTCCGCGCTCCGCTGCTCGCGCTGCGCACACACTGCTCGCGCTCGCGCTCGCCTCGGGTTAAAACTCAACCATCCTTTCCCACGCTGCGCCCCTGCGCCGAGCCCGGGGAGGAGGGAGGCGGGGCGGGGCCGCAGCTCCCGGGCAACGGCCGCCCTCCGGCCAATCCCGCGTTCCGCCCTTCTGATTGGCAGCCGCTCGCGGGGGG